AGTGCCTACCCCCTGTAGTACGTGTCTTGGTGTGACTATATATGTGTAGTGTACCCTCTAAAAACTCGTCACAATATTTTAAAAAAGATAAATCGATGCACAGCAATCGTGGTTCGATACGAATCCGTTGTTAGTTGCGAACTACTTCGTTTTCACAAGGTCCCCAAAGGACTCAAAAACATCGTTATAATTGCAGAACATTGTAAAAAAAAAACACACAAAATGAATTATACATGTATATGGGCATATCAGCTAACATACATGCAAACATTAATTAATTATCAATTTACGGTCGCGCGGGTGTGCGGAAGTGCGTCGCCCCCACCACAGGAGTAAAAGGCGTGGTCACGATGCACGCTCATGTCTCGACATATTAAGTTGCTTGTGCCTCGTGAACAACATTTAAAAAAGTTCGAAATTTGCTTAATTCAGTTTCTAATATGCCTCCAAAAAGCAACGGACAGAAGCTAGGAGAACAGAAAAGAAGGAAGGAGGAAAAAGAAAAAAGGGGGAACAGGAGGCAAAAATGACGTACGCGGTCATTACGTCAAAACAGCGTGTGAGGCAAGTGTAAAGCAAAAGGAAATTCCTTTTGCCGTACGTAGCATTATCTTCATAAATAGTGAATGCGTGCCACGTACACAGGTAGCGAGACAAACTCAAGACATAAGTACATCGCACCTTGCAATTAGCGTCCCTGCTTCTCACGTGAACCCTGCAACTCGCAAGGCAGACTTGCGCATTTCCATTGCAAACTTTACTCTACCTTTACGAACTCCACCGCCTCCTCTGCATGCAAGGGGCCGTGCGATCCTAAAATTCGTGCGTCCGGTTGTGACAAAGGCTTTAATTACAGTGTACGAGAGCTTAACTAATTAAATCATGATATACAGGGATGTTTCCTTAGAAATGCGCATTTACGTTTTCACATAGATATCACTGCATTTTTCTTCAATTTCCAATAAGACTCTGAACTGTGTTAGTTAAGTAAACATAAAAGTCTTTTTTTAAAGAAAATTGTCTTTTCAATTTGCTGGGTATATAATATTTGACAAAAAAAAAAAAAAAAAAAAAAAATCAAAGCCTCTTTAATTCCTGTATCTTTCTACATTTTAACCAATTAGACGGATAATTTATGGACATATCTAATAATATTTTCGATCTTATTGATCAGAACGAATATTATTACCATGATGCTAATGAATTTACACGTGCATGCGAGCAGTATTGGCATATACAACAGTTCGGCAACTGATTTTATTTTAGATAACCTTAACTGATGAAGTTGGTAATAAAAAGGAGGTTATCCGTCCATTAAGTTTTAGCTTTAAAATTGCAAGTTACTAAGTGCCACTTTGCTGTTGTCTGTTTTTTTCAGCTTGGTGCACTTCCCCTAGTTACTCTGGATTACTAAGATGATTCATAGAAAGATAGATTTCACATTATAATCACTCCGTGTTTTTTTCTATTTTTCAATTAACCTCGAAACAGTGCCTAAGTAAAGATATAGGGTTATTCACTACCACAAAGAAAGTAGAAGTCAAAATTGATTGCTTAGTTTCACAGTTTATCTTAAATGCGATGGAAAACTAACTCTGTATTGGTATGAAAAATAGATAAATGTATAGACTTCGGAAATTCCATTTCTCAAGCAGTATAGGAACGGGGTAACATACTTCATGTAGCAAGGAAATATACCTGACAGCAGTATGACGATTTTTAGGTATCCCGTATGAACATGTAGTTTGGCGCTTACATTTGATTACACAATGTTAAGCTTTGAAAGCTGCTGGCGAAATGGGATTGATAACATAAAGAATAGGGGACACGCGTACGTGACAAAGCGACTTTATCTGGAATATATTTCAATTTAATTTTATTGAAATAAACCACCCTCCTTGAAACACCAGTCAATCCACAGACCTCCTATAGAAGTGTAGGCCAGAAAACTGGTAAGGCATATATTATTTGATAACATTTGGGGTCTGTTATTGTATCACATACTATTGTGAAAATGACAACTTTCTTCTCGCTTAGCACTCAGCATGGAAATTGCAGCTAAATTTAAGGTTTGTCATGTAGTAGTGCTGGTTATTGTAAATAATAATTCCGTGCTCCGCATGTGCAGCATCTTAGTTTGCATTTTTTTCTACTGAGATAACAATGTTTCAGGAGCGAAACAGATCCATAAAGACCAGGTATAAATGTTTAATACAAGCTAGGCATTCTTGTCTTTTATTTGTACTACTCAAGTATTATGAGTGACATATATTGATTCCCTTGTTTTAGAAATCTTGGCCATTTAAAGATTGAAATAATGACATCCATTCAGCTGATAAGTCTGCTCCTACTGGTTGCTGTTCAAGCTGTCGATTCTTCAAGTATTGTGAAGGTAGGTCCAGAAAAGCGTTTATTATTGTTCGTTTATTAAAACAAGCGAGGACAGTATTAATAGAAACGCAGCGCGGTTCTTAAAGTGCAGGGAGTTGTTGTAGAATATTTTTGCTAATCTGTAACATTTTAGTGTGTCAGTTCACTGGAGAAGAGACCGTTTTTGGTTTTTCTTGGATGGTGACTTAACGTATACATATTTCAAACAAGAAACACATTTTTATAAAACCAATATTTACCGGCATAATCACTTCTAATAAACATGGTATACCTGTTTAAAACAGCGTCAGCGTCTCATATGTTCATTTTAAACCCAATCCCAATTAAATCCAAATACAAAAATACACGCAAGAAATTGTCATATCTAAAACAAGTAATACCCCTGCAAAATATGATATTTAAATGATATATCGAAACCATTTGAAAATAAAATTTTCATTCTTTTAAAAGAGATTTTCGACGTTCAGAGCGATGGCTCTTAATGTGAAACACGACCAAGGCTGGGTCATAAAAAACAATTTCTTTATATTTTAGAATACCAACAGAAAGTTCAATTCCTACCAAATCAGCAAGTTCAAAGCATTCTTTGATATCTTCGACGTTGATGAAGATGGCGTTGTTACTGAAGAGGAATTCGTTGGTTTAACTACAGGACGAGCTCAAAAAGTTCTGCCGTCTTGGAGAGCTTCGGCTGTGAATGGCATATATTCCGATGCCTTTCGGGTCTGGTGGTCAAACAAGTACTCCAACTATAAAACAGCCTTCACTTTTAAAGATATGATTCGGTTTCACGAGATAGACATGCCTATTACAACGAAGGAGGTCGCCGAAGTCTCATCGGATTTGTTTGACACGTTTGACATTGACTGCAATGGCAAGTTGACAGTAGCTGAGTATTCCAAATTCCTTTATGTTTATCGCAACACAGCTGCAATTCAGCCAATTTTTGATGTTATTGATCAGAATGCAAATGGCGTCCTTGATGCAGATGAATTTGTAAGTGCACTCGACCTCTATTGGTATCGACAAGAGTTCAGCACCACTGATATAATTTTTGGCAAGCGGTACTGATGCAGTTGGCAATGTGCAATAGCAGGCCTACCCAACTACCAGACTCGCCACCGAATGATCCTGAATTCACCGGTAGATCAGACCACACTACCCGTTTTCAAAGTGTGTGTCAGATCGCATCACACAGTATCAGACGCGACACCGCTCTTGCCTAGTACGCGATGTGATAGTGACGATTCTCAGCGGGGTTGAAAAGCATTGCATCACCACTCAAAATTTGTTCAGGGTATGATACTGTGTAATGCGATCTGACACACACCTTGAAAACGGGTAGTGTGGTCTAAACTACCGGTGAATTCAGGATCATTCGGTGCCGAGTCTGGTAGTTGGGTAGGCCTGAATAGATAGGTCGAACATTTCCCCTTGGCTTTTAGATTATAGCAGACGTCTTTTAGAAATGTACTGTCCCTTTGAAAAGTTTGATTTGCACAATGCTTACAACAACATTTAATGATGTTATACAGGGTTGTTTGCTTAGAAAGACGAATTTACGTTTTCACATAGAAATCACGTTGTACTTTTTCGTCAGTTTTCAATATAACTCTAAGCCTCTTCTCCCACCGGGAAAATTATGTTGTTTAAACGTTGAAACAGCATTGAACCATAACAATGATAAGACGTTGGATAAACGTTGGATTTGAAAGTTGTATCAACGTCAGATAATAACATTGTATCAACCTCAGTTATTAGACAACATTCTTGCATGAAAAGACATTAAAATGACCTGAAATGTTTTTATTTTTGGTACAAAACACAGGTACACAATTAAATACGTACACTGTAAAATATCGAAGTGCCTGCTTTGTCTGATTTTTCAACGCATTTAGCTCCTAAGCATGTTTTGCGCCTAAGCATGGTACAGCCTTATAGGCTGGATGTGTTTAGCAGTAGGACATGTTTGATGGCTAAATATATGTAGGGTATATATGTTACGAATAAGCAAACTTCTTTAGTCTTTTTCACATCTATTTCATTTGCTTGTCATTGAAATTGTCACGTAGAAACTGAAATGAACAAAATACATCAAATTAAGATATTATCCTTAAATTATGTTACAATTACAACTTATAAAGTTCTTATTAACTGTTTAAATTACTAAATGATTCATAAAGTCTTACCTCATTGCGGGAATTAGTGACTTTTAATGATCAGAACATAACTATGATAAGCGCGTGCTCTAGTCAAAAAAGTAAAACGCTATCTTCGCCGATGTTGTATAACAGCTAAGACGGGCCAAACCTTAACATGGCTCCCCTAAATTGTGAAAGCAATTTACACAATATACACTGTTTACCTTATCATTACGTATAAAAAAAAAGATATTTGCTCGGAAATTATTAAGAATTACCGTAACTTAAATACCTTTAAGGAACATCAATACTTACTGTTAATTACCGTAATTAAACATAAAATACCTTGCAATCCCATAAACACAAATAGCCCAACATGTAACTGTCTTTAGAAAACAAAAGTGTTCATTAAATCTACACAAACTGTAACATAGAATCATAACAAACTGACATTGTCACAGTTAACAGTTATTTTGGCTCCTCGACGGGGTCTTCTCCGGTCAATAAAAGAATTAACTTGTGCACTGGTCTCTCATATGTAGAGTCCCTAACTTTCAACTTGACCTTACGCACATATCCATCTGCACTTTGAAAGCTTTCTGCTATGCGACCAAGTGGCCACTGATTTCTTGGTGCACTGTCATCTATCATGAGAACAATATCTCCAACTTGTACATCTCTATGTTGTCTGATCCACTTTTTTCTCTCTTGTAATGTAGGAAGAAATTCCTTTCTCCACCTGCTCCAAAATTCATTGGCTAGATATTGAACATGTCGCCATCTTCGATGAAGGTATGTGTCTTTCCTTATGAAATTCCCAGTGGGTGGCATCACGACCTTAGTTTTCAGGGTCAGGAGCTGATTTGGAGACAAAGGCATTGGAGAATCTGGTGACTGTGTATCAATGTTAGTCAAAGGTCTACTGTTAACTATGACTTCTGCCTCAGTTAACAATGTGGACAAGGAATCATCATCTAAACGGTCACTGTGAGCTGTGAGAAGTCCTGATAAAGCATTTCTGGCTGATCTGATCATCCTTTCCCACACGCCTCCCATATGTGAAGCATGAGGAACATTCATTTCAAACTGAATCCAGTCATAGTGGTCTTTCAGAAGTTCTCTCCTGATCTTGTCCTGATCCATATCCATAAAGACAGTTTCTTGCTCTCCCTTAACTCCAATGAAATTGGTTCCACGGTCTGCTCCGAGTAGACGTACTGGTCCACGCCTGCATACAAAGCGTCTGTAGCAGTTAATAAAGGAATCTGTGCTGAGTGAATATGCAACTTCTATATGAATAGCACGTGATGCTAAACATGTAAACATAGCACCATATCTCTTCATTTGCTTTCTTCCCTCCTTCACATAGATTGGTCCAAAGAAATCTACTGCACTGTAGGTGAATGGAGGTGCTGGTTCCAGTCTGTCAGCTGGAAGATCTGACATTTTCTGACTCTGTGAGTTTGCTCGTAGCTTACGACAGGTCGCACATTTCCATATATATGATCCAATCTTGGCACGGCCAGAAATTATCCAATAGCCACTAGCTCGGACTTCATTAAGAGTAATGCCACTTCCTGAATGTCCGCATCGTGTATGATAGTGGTCAATTATGAGATTTGTAACGTGATGATGCTTAGGCAGAATTACTGGGTGTGTAAGCTCTCTGGGTAGATTTGCTCTCTTTATACGACCACCTACTCTGAGTAGTCCATCTTCACATAAAAAAGGGTCTAGGCGGTATAGTGAACTGGTTTTCTTGATTTGTTCGTTGCGATATCTTGCCTGTTTTCTCTCTGTGTTCACTGTTATCTTCTCTGTTAATTGCTTTCAGTATTGCAATTTCCTTCTCAAATGTAGCAATCTGTGTTGACTTGAGAATGATCTTTTCTGCCACTTGTATTTCTTGAACAGTCAACGGTTCATTGCGGGTCTCAACTGTGTTCTGCTGTGTAGATTTCCTGTTCCTAGCTTGTTTCAGCTTCTGTATGAATCGTAAACACCACGTAACAACTCATGTTGATCTGTTCCAGGAAGAAAACCTTTTCAATACATCCGACAAGTGATCGTGGTTGGTTTCTACTTTAGTAGCAAATACATTGACTTCAGATTTGCGTACTTCTGGGTCATCTGGTGCTAGTCTGAATTGGGTATTAGTGGTAGATAGTGGTTTATCAATGAGCAGGAAGTCTGGCCCATTCCACCACTGTTCATTCTGTAGTAGCTCTGTCACACCTGTTCCCCTGGAGGCTATATCAGCTGGGTTGTCACTGGACTTAACATGCCTCCATTGTGATGGCTGACTGACTTCTCCAATGTGTTGTATTCTATTAGCTACAAAGACATGAAATCTCTTAGCATCATTATTGACATCCCCTAGAACAACCTTGCTGTCAGTCCAATACACATGGGTGATGTCCTCATACACTAACTCCTTGGCAAGAAAGGTCTCCACCTTTATAGACATCACTGCTGCTGACAACTCTAGGCGTGGGACTGTCACTGATTTAGAGGGAGCTACCTTGGACTTGCCCATAACTGGTGACTAAAAGTCATTCTTAAGAAAGTCAATGACGTTTGATGAATACTCATCTTGGTAGTCCTCTGCTAGTTTCCTCAGTCCATACAATGCGCATGCTGGTGAACTTATCGCTCCAAATATATGAGACGTCATTCTGTATGTGATGGGATTACTATTGATGTCACCGTCTTTCCACCATAGGAACTGTAAAAACTTTCTATCCTCTTCTTTCACTTTAAACCTGTGAAACATGTTCTCCATGTCACCCATGATTGCTACTGGCTGCTCTCTAAACCTCAATAAAACACCTATGAGCGAGTTATTCTGATCAGGTCCTTTCAACAGGCAGTCGTTTAGCGCAACATTTTCATGTTTTGCACTGGCATCAAACACCACTCGTAATTTCTCACGTTTCTTGGGGTGATATACACCATGATGTGGTAAGTACCAACCTCCATCTTCATGAGGTGATTCTTCTGCATAGCATTTATCTATGAGGTCCTGCATAAAACTGTTATAGTGCTCATAATACTTCGGGTTGTGGATTAGCCTTTTCCTTAGCTGCTCTAGCCTGATCTCAGCTGCTGGTTTGTTGTTNAGGAACAACCTAATTGTCTGATCAAAAAGACACAATGAAATGTATATCCCTTTTACAATGGGTCGTCATTTAAGTATTTTAATATTACAATTATAAAGACATTTCAGTAGTAGGCAGGTTAGGTGGGAATCGTTCAAAACTACATTCACTAATCACAAATATCCAAGGTGCCAAGGTGTGTTTTGAGCAAACTAGGACTGCCAAACTCACTACACGTACCTTACCAGTTGATATTTTGACTCTTTGAATACTGAAATGTTTTGTCCGACTTGGAAGGAATATTGTCTGGTTAGATCTAATTATGTGATCTTGCCTTTATTGTGATAACAGCTATCCCGTATTTAAATGTGCATTCCTTACCATTGTCAATTTTGCAAGTTGAATATTCTTTTTCAAGTGTGAACACGGACAGGACAACAAAGATGCTAGTTAGTTATTGTGACTTCATACATTCTAGAATATATGTGCAGATGTGACTGAAGACTCGCTTATAGGTTTAGTGAGTAGAATTTCGTCGAAAGAATAGCATATAAAGGTTTAAACATATCTGTTCCACCTGATACCCTACATCATTTGTAACCCCAATACCCAAGTAGCATTATCCCTACGGCAAAATATAATAAAAAAGTTATTAACAAATGCTATCAATTCATATTCCTGAAGTCTGTTCGACTGACCTTTTATAGAGAGAATCAAAGTCACATATTAATTTTGGAGAAAACATTCCACACATTTAGATCTGGGCATGGTACCTAAAGGACTTAGACTTAATAGTTTGGATAAAGTCAAACTTCTGACAGTCCTGAGGGTTACAGCTCTCTCCTGTGTTCACTTTATGGTCAAACAGTATCCTGTTCATTTGTGAATTTAATTTTGTGTCACTTTTCTAAATTTCAAGAGGGGAACACGTCAGTTTTGAGCTACTTCATTGTTCGTACGCGTTGGTCTTTTGGAACTGAGTTTAAAATAGGAAGTAATTATAAACAAAAGTATACATACATATACTTTATTTTGCCCTATCGAATAAGCAGCATTAAAACCAGAAGTTCATAGAAAAAAGAGAAAAATTCCATCTGAATATATCTGATAGTAAACCAAAGTCAAAAGCTGCACTTAACAGCCTATGTCTAAAGTGTAACATAACAGTGGAAAACGAAAAAGTTATGAGCTAGCTTATAGCAAAAAGTTTAAAACCCGACTGCTTCATCATTTTAAATCATATCGTAATTTTTCAGGAGCCAAATATAATTTCATCGGGACTGGCATTTTGATCAAAAAATGCATGACGGAATGCGTTTGTGAATTCTTCGCCATCAAGAATACCATTCGCATCATGGTCAATAACTTTAAATATGTCTTGAACAGAGGCCGTGTTGTGGATTACAAAAAGGAAGTTTGAATACTCATCTAAAGTCAGCCTGGCATCGCAGTCGAGGTCAAATGTGTGAAACCAATCCCAGGAGTCCCGGAAGACCTCTTCGCTTGAATTACCGAGCTCCTTCTCGATAGCTGGAAGCCATTCCTCGAATGTCATGGATGTCTTATAGTTTGTATTTGTGTTAGACCACCAATAGAGATACAGTTCGGACATAATACCATATACGGCCTTCGCTCGCCAGGATTCCAAGACCTTTCCAGCTCGCTTTGCTGTTGCATCGATGTATTCCTCTTTAGTGACTATTCCATCTCCATTGGGGTCAGTATTGTCAAAGAATGACTTAAACTTAGCAATCCAGTGCTTAGTAAAATGTTCCTTGGAGTCCTACGGTATACAAAAGAGTGTATAAATATGCTAGAAATAGAAATTTACACACCGACACACCGTACAATTAAAAAAATCCGAAAAATCCTAAAAAAATGTCATAGTTTAAATCTAACTTAACAAGGGTTAATAACACGACACCAGTGTGGACCTACCTTTACACCATATGTTGAGACGATGCATTCAACCATCACCAACAGAAGCATTACTCTGTGCTTCATGACTGGCATGTCTATGTCTTTTACCCTGGCCAGGTTTATGAAAAATAAATAAATAAATAAATAAAATATATATATCAGTTAAATATAAAATCCAGCAGGTGCCACATGCCCCCCCCCCCCCCCCCTCATAATCACTGTATCGTCTGGTATACCCGCTTTACCAAATCTTTGTCCCCATCAGACTCGATCACAGGCGTTTGATTCATATGCACCGTTATCAACTAGATCTTTCTCTACTCAGTCTGTGAATACGAGAAATATAAATCGATAATAACCATTTAACTACCGACCCTGTTATGTAACATTGTATATATGACCTACCAGGTGTCCTACTATTCTCTTGGAGCCGTGTCCTGTCGGATCCGTTGTGTTGCACTGCTGTTTTGTTGAAGATACAATGGTGTTTTACAGCAAAAAGACGGTGATGATACTATATTTAATTGTAAGACCTCCAATACGTCAAGCTTTTTCTAGTTGTAAAGTGTTGTCATTTAATATAAACACAGAACTACATTTTCACGCGGGCTGTCAAGTGCAAAAATACAAAACAAATTATATGCTAGTTATTTAAGCAGCATTTGTTTGGTGTGTACTCATTAAGACATAAACTAGATGGTTATTGTTTTTTAAACGTGTTGAGTTACGGTATGGTATTGATCAAATATTTCATCAAATGGAATTTTGGCTTAAGAACATGCCATTTATTTGTACCACCAGTTTTACATCGCGTGACTTTAGGCTATTACTTGAGATACTAAAGGGAGTCGCATAGTTAGGGGTATAACTGAAGCAAAAGTAAGAGTGAAAGGAAAACGAACGAGATAGATTAAGAGTTCCGAGAGGACAGACTGAGAGTTGAGAGACTGGGGACTTCCTTGACTTTAGAAACCAAGGGTTCGATTGATTTTATGTCAGTGTCCTATCGAATATGACACGAGGTTTGAAAAACACATATGATCATGCCATTCAAAGGCACACAGCAATATTTTTGAGAAGAAATGATACAAGTACTTTTTATATAATAAATTATAAAACGGCACAGAGATAAGGACAAATGACATGTGGTATATCTGAACCTACCTTCAAACATTTGAAGAAACAATGTTTTTACTCAGAACCACTAACAGCAGAATTTTCAGGAGTTTCATTTCGAAAAAGGTCCATTATGTACGTGCACGGGTTTCCTAAATGAATTACCAACATATCCTGGTGATGTCATTCCCCTGTCTGCCAGTATGTTTCACAATCATGTGAACAAGTCCAATAGGGACCCTTGTGCAGTATGTCTAGANTCCTGTTATGTAACATTGTATATATGACCTACCAGGTGTCCTACTCTTCTCTTGGAGCCGTGTCTTGTCGGATCCGTTGTGTTGCACTGCTGTTTTGTTGAAGATACAATGGTGTTTTACAGCAAAAAGACGGTGATGATACCATATTTAATTGTAAGACCTCCAATACGTCAAGCTTTTTCTAGTTGTAAAGTGTTGTTATTTAATATAAACACAGAACTACATTTTCACGCGGGCTGTCAAGTGCAAAAATACAAAACAAATTATATGCTAGTTATTTAAGCAGCATTTGTTTGCTGTGTACTCATTAAGACATAAACTAGATGGTTATTGGTTTTTAAACGTGTTGAGTTACGGTATGGTATTGATCAAATATTTCATCAAATGGAATTTTGTCTTAAGAACATTGCAATTTATTTGTACCACCAGTTTTACATCGCGTGACTTTAGGCTATTACTTGAGATACTAAAGGGAGTGGCATAGTTAGGGGTATAACTGAAGCAGAAGTAAGAGTGAAAGGAAAACGAACGAGATAGATTAAGAGTTCCGAGAGGACAGACTGAGAGTTGAGAGACTGGGGACTTCCTTGACTTTAGAAACCAAGGGTTCGATTGATTTTATGTCAGTGTCCTATCGAATATGACACGAGGTTTGAAAAACACATATGATCATGCCATTCAAAGGCACACAGCAATATTTTTGAGAAGAAATAATACAAGTACTTTTTATATAATAAATAATAAAATGGCACAGAGATAAGGACAAATGACATGTGGTATATCTGAACCTACCTTCAAACATTTGAAGAAACAATGTTTTTACTCAGAACCACTAACAGCAGAATTTTCAGGAGTTTCATTTCAAAAAAGGTCCATTATGTACGTGCACGGGTTTCCTAAATGAATTACCAACATATCCTGGTGATGTCATTCCCCTGTCTGCCAGTATGTTTCACAATCACGTGAACAAGTCCAATATGGACCCTTGTGCAGTATGTCTAGACCCAACTTTGACCCAGTCCAAAACAATAAACGAAAGTTTTAAGAAATTCCCCCATTTCCATTTTAGACTGTATATCCCCCAGAGATAGGTGTTTGTAGATGAACCTTAATAATGCCCTTTCGAGAAGATACTGACGGCACTACAATAATTACAAGCAGTCAGTTAACTTTCTTGCTCTCATAAAAGCAGTAAGGAACAAAAGTAAAGATACTAGCCCCCGTTTCACAAAGAATCTTAAATCCGTAGACGTCTTACTCGAGCTGGGTGGCCTAGCTAGGTCGACTTAGCTGAAGTCGACTTGGAGTGTTTCACAAAGAATCTAACGTCTTAGCTTGGCGTGCTTACCGTAGTCGACGCGCACGAGAAACTCTTCAAGAAAAGGAGGTGTAAAATTGCAAAAGTTTCACAAGACATGACGTTTCATGGCCTCTTTCGGCCGAGAACGATCGTTTATCAACAATAAAAGTCAGCCAAAACACAAACAAAGTTTGTTTTTGAACTTTATTGATAAGTTTAACTTCAATACAACTTCAAAGTAACAGTTAAACATTAGCTTGTCGTGGAACACTACTGAGGGACGTCTAGCGGTCAAAAACATAAACAAACACGCGATCGGCTGGGTAAAGTGGAATTTTATTTTTTATTTTAATATTCCATAAATGTCAGTGCTATTCAAGGATATTATAACACAATATCTTGAAGGAGGTATGTTCTTTCCAAATTTTTGTTGTTTATGCTCTCATTTACCGAGTTTTAGTTGAGCTTGCCGACTTAAGTCTCCTCCCGAGGAGGCTTGACATCGTCGACTTACAGCTAAGAAAAAAACGACGTAAGCGACCTTTTAGATTCTTTGTGAAACGGGACTTAGTGACGTAACGACTTAATTACGTTGGTAACCAAGCCCTAAGTCAGGGAAACCGACTTAAGTTTTTTTGTGAAACGGGGGCCTGGTCTCCTGTAAAAAAATGAAACATCCATTGGTGAAGAAACTAAGAACAGTTGGTTGGACGAGGTGAGGTAGGCGGCAGGAGCACTACTACTGAGTGAAGACCGAGTGGGATGGACGTTGGACTCGACTGGGCGACTACACTTGGCCTTTGAATATTTGCACACATCGGCTCCTATACATATATCGATCACCTATGACAAGCCAACGTCTGCAGGGGCGGATCCAAGAAGGGGGGTCCGCGAATGCGAAGCTGACCCTCCTCCCCCTTCGGCGTGGGACCCCCTGACACCTTCCTTAAATCTGCCACTGGTCTGAGATAAAAATGTATCCCCCTACGTTTTCAGAACAAATGTCTAGAAACACTACATGCCTGACAGAAAGAAATTAACACAATCTATTATAAACAAGTCCATCCATATTTTATAGCCCAGCTGCGCGTAACCTTCTCAGAAAACTAATATAGTGGTGCCAATGGTAAAGTTCCTCCCTGTCGTTTTTGTTTTTGTTTTGTTTTGTTTTTACTGTAACTCAAGAGGTCAGTGTTAAAGTGGCAGCTAGTTAATACGAAATTCACGAAATAAACATTTCATGCACAACTGTAAAATTATTCTTAAAGCCTTGGAAGGTTGTATTCAAATTAATTGAGAACAACTGACTAGCTTTTCTTCAAATTCTAAACTTTTTAAAATCTGTAATCCCGTATTCCAATGTACATTCCCTACCGTCGGCAAATTTACAAGTTGAAGACATGTGTCTTTAAATGTAATCAAGGACTTACATTGAAATGTGGGCTTCTATAACAAAGAAAAGGCATGTTCGAAATAGTGCCTGATGACAGTATTTGATAGATGTACATGGGCATATACGTTTGCAAACACGATTAGATTTCCTAGCGCAAAACTTTTTTACAATATATCTTAAAGATAATAGCAGCTATTGAGACTGACAGACGATAATAATAATTATTATTATTTTCATTATTATCACTATTTTTATGTATAATATAAATAGACTGTGCAATTTAAAATAAGCCATAAAACCAATATTTACGAAATTGAATTATAGACTAAAGGCCAGTTCATTTCTTTCAAATGCTACTTCAATACAAGTCATTCAAATGCACAAGATTCAGTTGTATAATTTACGAAAGGACATCTTCAATTTCCTTTTTCAAATGTTTTAAAATGAAATGGATCAAAGGAGTTTAGGCATGATGTGATTGTCATTTTAAATTTAGAAACAAACAGCAATATTTGAATACTTTGTAAACGTTGTAAAAAATTGACCAATTATATATTGAACTAAAGACAAGATAACAAGTACCTTTGAAAATCGTGTACCTGACAGAAATCAGTTACAAAGCAGTAACACGCAAGCACGCACCAACGCGCGCACACACACACACACACACACACACATATATATTCTTTTTTATCCAAATAAATAAGCACAACCTTGACCAGGGAATCGAAAAAGAAAGCTCCACACCTGATAAGAATATTAAAATAGCCTACCCTGTACCCTTACACCTCAATTATATACCACTGCACAGGGAACTGGACAAACAGTGGAAAAGCAAAGCAGTGACATATGAGGAGGTCTTATGTGATATTTTGGAAAGAGGATGAATCTGATTCCTCTTTTCATCTACACCGAAATTCCTCAGTGGTGAGCACCTAGAATAAAATCAGCGGAACTGGCCTTGGTGTCATACCATGTATGCTGAAATCCGTATAGGAATTTTTCGCCATTTATTACACCATTCCCATCTCGGTCGATAGCTTTAAAAACGTTTTGAACGGGGGCTGTGTTGCGGAAAACCGTAAGGAATTTGGAATACTCGTCTACCGTCAGCTTCTCATCGCAGTCCAGGTCAAATGTGTGAAACCAATCCCAACAATTTTGGATGATTGCCTCACGTGTATACTGGACTTCCTTCTCGAGAGCTGGGATCAACTCTTCAAATGTTATGGATGTTGCATAGTTGGTGTCTTTGTTCGACCACCAGGTTTTATACGAGTCGGACATGATCCCGTACACTGCCTTAGCCCGCCAAGGTTCCAAGACCCGTTTGGCTCGCTCTGTTGTCAAATCGATGTGTTCCTCTTTGGTTACCACACCGTCTTTGTTAACGTCAAAGATGTCGAAGACTGCTTTATGCTTAGAAAGCCAGTGCTCAGTAAAATTCACATTGGACTCCTGCGGATTAACAAGGTTATACGTAAATAATATACGAAACACATACCCCGGTACAAACACATGCAAATATATAAACCACAACCACAGTTAAATGAAAACTTTATTTCACGGAAAATATATTATTAATAGTGTAAACATCATACTGATAGTGTAAACACGTATAAATAGTGTTAACTCATACTAAAATCTAAGACTACGTTCCCATAACCTAATTGTACTAGCAGGATCGATCTATCTCAGCAGAGATTCTCGCCAAGGCGCAGTAAATGTAATAATGCTTAATTTTCTGGCACGTCCTCCCGAAACACCATGAACAACATCATGGACCGCAAAGTTTTCTAGACTTTAACCAAGCACCTTAAGTCACAAGGGGGTGTGCCAGACTTTTAATCAACTCAAACGGAATGGAATTTAGCGAGAATCCCCGAGGAATTAACCTAGTGCGATATGGCTAAGGGAAAGGTCCGTAATTGATTTCCATGATCAACCTTAGGCTGTATTCCCAGAGCTTTTAGATCGATCTATCCCCGCGGGGAGTCTCACTAGATTACTGTCAGACAATCCGGCTTAAATATCCGTCCCGCCTACTACAAGCTGTAAGGTGGTAATTAACTTTCTTGTCCGCCCGGCTGACAGCTATGTAGCGTGCACCCCCAGGGAGTTAGGTTGATCTAAAGTAGATCGATCTAATCTCTGGAAATGGGGTCTTAGTTTCTGGCAATAAATTGCAGCCAAGCACAAATTAAGGGCCGCGAGTCTGTCCCTACCTTCACAGCATTCAATGAAACAACTATTTCAACAGCCACCAGTTGCAGCAGAATTCTCGGATTGATGACCAACATTACGATAAAAAATGTCCACCTTATATGGGTCTATAAAAACAAATGATGAACACTTAAGTCGAAAATACGTACACATTAAGTTAAGGTGAAACTGATTTTAACAATGCGTTTTCTCAGTGCTCGCCTTCACTAGATACTAAATGTCCCAAAGTCAAGTTCATTTTAAAACTGATCACGCCTAGAGTTTGCTTGTACTGTGACACTCGCATGCATGCAATTGTATGTATAACTTACCAGACGATTCCCCTACTTTTCTAAATGTAGCCGTGTCTTTGCTGATATCTATTACCTGATGTCTGTTTACATCCAATATACTGTATCACTGCTTTATGTCTGATAAAATAATCCTGTATTCCAATGTGCATCCCCTATTGCCCCTATCAATATTACAAGATGAACATTTCATTTATAAATGAAAATAGGCGTTCAGTAGAATACAGGAAGCTTGTGAGCTTACGAGTACGATGGAAACAACGAGAATCCCTGCAAAGTTGGACTTTTAATGCCAATGTTTAATTCTCTCCTCATGCACGTCTGCAAGTTTTTATCTTCTGAACATCTACAATTCTCCGACCCTGAAATTTGTCTTGAAATTTGGAGCCGCTTTCCTTGTGTCTTCTTGGTATGACCGTGACCTTGTCTGCGGCAATCGTAGTCAACTCCAACCCAGTATAAACCTGAAGCGGGGGCGATACTTTATAAAGTTATAACTGTAAGTCTAAAATATCAGTCTTCATTCTTGTTTAAAATGTCTTTGTTATCCGAATTCACAAAGCAAGTTTGCCCTTTACATAGCAGAAGCATTCCAATTTATTTGAAATTTAAAGCCATGAAATCATACCATTAAAAGGCAAGTCCGTTGTTGGTTGTTTGCCATAATTTCCCTAGACCGTTCACCAATCCCCTTCCCCTTCATGTGATCAATTATAATATTAACACCATAACTAATTAGCATCTTTGTTGTCTTGGCAGTACACATTCAAAGCCACATCTCAGCATTTTGCTCAGTGTCCTTGATCTAGGCATGATTTAAACTTATTGTCTTAACTTATGAATGGCATGTTTACAACAACCAATTACATTGTACACCTCTGCTTTGCATTGCTCACCTCTGACAACTTCTTAAAATAAAGCAATAACACCAACAGAAGCACAATCACCTCGACTGAAATGTTAACCGATTTATATAAACACATTTCATGTCTCTTATTCGTCACTTAAAAACTAATAATCTTCTTCTATGTATTTTGATAGAGTGTTAGTAATTACATTAGAATGAAAATGTCGTTTTCTCTAGTCTCTATCAGGTCATCACTCTATATATAGGCCTACTAACCCTATACAAAATAGCCCGATAAAAATGGGCGGACCTGTCCCATTGGTACCTTCTTACGTTGTTAAGCATTACGTGATTGAACAATATTGGCAAGAGTTATTTGTCACAGCAAAGGCCAAATACATCCTGCATAGAAAGCATATAAGTTGCTAACTGTACATCTAGACGTACACCTCACAAAAATAGACACCAAATTACTTTCCAAGGTAACATATGAGGTCTTGCTTGCGAGACACGGTTTAGCTGCGATTTTTATTTTATAACATATGTGACCTCTCAAAATAACGAAGGACAAGATTCATTGTTTCACTTTCGANTATTTTTTTTTTTTTTTATATATATATATATATTTATATATACTTTTTACTCTCTGAGCTTTGTGCCCCCATAGTCGTGCTTAGACTGCTTATACCCCCTCCTCCGGTACATAAATCTGACTCTGCTTCAAATGCATTGCACGTACGTATCGAAATACTTAATTGGCGTTTTGGCCTAGAAATTCGTCGTCTGAGGAAGCAAATCTACAATGGGATGACAAAGACAACATTGTTGATGTGTAAGATAAGGTTATGTATCGCCTTAATCTACTTGCTCCTCTTTTAAACTCTACTAGGCACATTAACCAGGGAAGTACTAAATGGTATCGTACCTATTGTAGTGCCAGTCATGTAGAAGGCGAAGAACACGAGCAAACACCTCATTTTAATGTTAAAGAATTCTACATTGCACAAACCGTATGTCAACAGTGCTAATTGCAATAACTATATTATCAATTAAAATTCAGAGTGCACTCAAAAAAATCAAAATGTAAAAGATAACTCTGAAAACATAGTCGGGACAACTTATTTCACAGAAGGCAAAAGCAAAGATCACACATGGGAGACAGAAGGAAGGTAGAAAAGAAACAGAAAATTCCCCATGGTACAATGTAGCTCAAAATTGCATCATTCAAAGGACGCTTATGATCGGCCAAGAGAGAGATGGACATAATGGGGGAAGAAGCATCGCCCTGATTAACAGGGAATCCATTACGTGACGAACATTGGATATCCATTTGGTCCTTAATTTAAACCTCCTTCCCTCCTCCTTTGATAGACAAACCTCTCCCACGACATTTGCGTGACTGATTGGTTCAAACTTTGCAGCGACTTTTTAATCCGTTGATATCATATCGAACGTCCCAATTGTCTCTGTTCTTTGTGTAATTTTTAAAAAATCAACGAACACGATTTTAGGGAAAATATTTTCACCTTGATTTCAGAATTATACAAAATGTCCACAACACGTCAGGAAGAAATATGGGCTATGGTCAAAGGAGTAAATGCGGTGACTAACAATGTGGGAAAGAGCTTGAACCTCTACCGTCAGTGGGCACCAAACTTTGACCAAGATAATGCGGTAATAAAAACAATTCTTTATACATTTCGTATAGGCCTATCTGGCTATGAATAACAATTATTGTGCATGTACCATACGAATTTACATGTTCACCACTGCATAGAAACAACGAAGATATATTTCTATGGTTGTGTGACTGGTAGTCCGCTAGGAACCGTTATCCGTTCCCCATTACTTTGTACAGGTGACATCTTTCAATATGCTGACCCAATACGACTAATTCTAATTTGTACCAATCGGATGGGACACGGGACTCCCATTCCTACATGAAGGACTGTACGTAACGGAGGCGAAACTGAGCATATACTGCTTCTAACGAACCATTAGAAAATGGTCGATGGTGATAACATTAGATTTCAAGTATACTCCCGAGAAGATGCATATATGTGTGTATATGAGTATCCTCTTAATGGTCTGTAGGAGTCCATTGTTAGTAGAAAAATGTCATGAAATTGGTACTTTCACTTTCATAGGACATTCAATACAACGGACCAAAATTTACTGCCCAGACAATAGACGAACTGTTTGGAGAAAACAAAGATGCCTTGATTCTGGACGCAGGGGCTGGAACTGGTTTAGTGGGGGAAGAGGTATGAACAAGATTCTACTTTGAATTATTATTTACAGTATTAGATTTATAAGTAGATTCATTTAATTCCGATAGTAACATTTTACCGATCTTTCGCTATAATTGTTATAATTTCTTCAATATCTCTCTTAAGCAGCTAAATATTAATGTCCATAAGCAGCTTGTCAATTTACTTTTAGCTTTAAGTGGCGGCTTCTTGCAAACTACGAACGCTAAGTTGTTGGACAGTATTTCATTAATTTTTATTGACAGCTGCAGAATCTAGGATTCACAAACCTGGTGGCTCTAGACGGAAGTCAGGAGATGTTAGATGTAGCCAATCAGAAAGGAGTTTACAAGAGCAGTGTTTGCAGTTTCTTAGGGCCTGACAGACTGGACATTGATTCAAGTGATTCACGATGCGACAGTTTATCTTTACTGCATATAAATGCTAGAATCTATATAGCGCATTTAAAGGCATACAATGTTCGGTAGAATTTCTTACAGCAGAGTAATGAAAATTCGCATAGAAATTCCAGCAATTTTTCCGTTGTAAAACTGTTATAAAAATGCGGTCTATTAACCTGGTTTCCAGTTGGTAATAAGTATTTCATTGTCACGGGTACTGTGAAGCACATGCGTCTCCATCTCACCTCTCCTACCACCGCACAAGGGGAGAGGCTCAAAATTTTGAAACTGTGAATCGAATAATTGGACCATAACTTTACCAATGGTTTGGGACAGGGTGGGCTTACATCTTGATGATAAAGACGAATATGTTGAAATGTCAATGAAAGTTCAATATCCGGTAAATATGAATGCCCAATGCATCTTGCGTGACTTTAAAGTTATTTGCATAGGCACATCAGAGTTAAGCTACCCTTACAACCGGTCGTGCGTGCTTCTACGAGCGGTTTGCGTGCAAAAAATTGGCCAAGTAGTAAGATACACGCACGTGGAACGTACTTTTTTTGGTGGACACAAACACGACGCAAAGCACGCAGCCCGAAAACTGGCCGGCCAGTTTTTCGCTACGACCTGTCTGCGACAATTAGAACGCCTGGAGCACGCTCGTAGCACGCAAGACAAAAGCACTGAGTAAGTGCGCTAGGCGTGCGTGTAACGCATGAAAAGCATGCAGAAATTCCGGGGTATTTTACCACGAAGACGTACTCACCACGCAAGAGACTCGTACGTTCAACTTGCTTTTAATGTACGTGTTAACAAAAAGGGGGGTGAGCGCACTTCCTCCGTGCGTTTATTTTACTTCCAAAGTGCGTGGCGAGTACTACTACCATACTTGTGAAGTGCGTCACACAAAGACGACGCACGTGCCCAGCACGATAAAAGTGCAGGCGATCCCGAGCAACCACTACAAGCATTGCGTCACGATCTTCGGCCTCCTCTAGCATTAGCAGCTGTAGAAGTCGATGGCGCATCCTTCTTGGAAGTGCCATTTTGGAAGCCAAAACAGTGAATGATGAAGAGACTCGGTGCTCCCTTTTATATTATTTTGATTATCCGTGCGTCCCACTTCCGTGCTCATTACATTTCTTTTACGTTTCTCTCACTTCGTAAGTACGATTTCTGAAAACGTACGCTTCACTTGCATTACACGCATGATTATCTCACTCACTGTGTGCGACACAGGTACAGATCGTACGTGCCCCTTACTTCTTTCTACTTCCAAAAAAGGCGTACAGACCACTTGCGGGCCCCACGTTTCGAGCACGACACACCTACTCATAAAGTACTTACTACTTCGTCCGCTGCGATTTAATTTTCATCCTGCGACTACGCTTCGTCTGACAAGAACTCCGAGGACGCACGATCTCTAAGCACGCACGACGGGTTGTAAGAGAGGCTATAGCTAGACTTTTAAAGTGTAAAATCTGGCCAATGTTCATGGCTCGTCTTGGGGTCATAGTTTCTTACCGTTATTTTCCATTGTAGTTTGAAACGACAAATGGAAACAGTGTCATGCATCGGGTTTCAGATATTGATGTCGAGTTTTTTTTCCTGTCACACCACCATAAACGTAAAAAAATGTCATTCTTCGTAATCGGTTCTTTGAAGAAAAAGGTTCATTAATACATACCTATTTATTGTTTCCAGGACAGTATGACTGCGTGGTGTGTGTTGGTACTATGGCAGCAGGCCACGCCAATGCTAGTTGCCTTCCAGAACTGATTCGAATCACTAAGTCTGGTATGTTATGAGATATAGTCCTCGAAATAGTAGTTAGGGTTAAGCTTTTTATTAAACTTCATATTTGTAAACTCCATATTTGTAAGTGGCCCTTATCCTTTCTGGATCATTAATTTAAGTTTAAAAAATGAAAAAGTTGATACATGAAATCATTTAATGTAATAGGGTTAACTTGTAAGTGGTCCTTACCCTTTCTGGATCATTAATTTAAGTTTAAAAAATGAAAAAGATGATACATGAAATCACTTAATTTAATAGGGTTTAAATTAAAGTCCCATCCAGTCAATTGCTGTGAGCAATGTTGCATCTACTGTCTCTACAGGTGGGTATGTTGTCATAGCAATGAGAGAGATACACATCCCAGATTGTGGATATGACGGCAAGAGTTGGGACGACTGGCTGAAGATTCACGAAGACAACGGGCTTTGGAAGAAAATAGAGATTAGAAATGTTGAAAATTGGCTCTCCGGTGTTTATGTGGGGGTAATTTACGTGCATAAGGTTATGTAAAGGATAATCCTGAAAACGTTTCTGGTCATTTAGTTAGTTATTTATCAATTTATCTCGGAATGCCTTGTGCATTCACAAGTTATTTGGTTTACTTATAGATACTTAGATATAGATATGGTTCCACTGGGAAAAACTGTCACACGCATATACGTATAATTGATCACTTGGGAGCAGCCATCGCCTGGACTTAAATGTATCCCACTACGTTTATAGAACAAATAATGTAGAGAAACACCTAATGTCCCTGTCAGAAAGAAATTAGATAAACATAATACGCATTCATAACTTTAAAATTTATTCTTGAAGCTTTGGAAGGCAGTATTAAAATTAATAGAGAACAACCCACCAGCTTTTGTTCAAATTCTAAGCTTTGAAAATCTGTGATCCCGTATTTAAATGTACATCCCCTATAGTCGGTAAATTTACAAGTTGAACACATTTGACTTTAAATGTAATCAAGGCCTGTCGAATAAGTCTGTCCTTGCATAGTGTTAAACCATGCGAGAACCTGTATCTGGCGAGAAATCAGTGGGGCTAGACAAGGTGATCTAATTATGTCAGAGCTTAGCAATCAATGGCAACGCATGGGCATAAACTAAATAAAAGGAGACACCCTATGTTGTTAAATATCTTTTGTGGATTGTAGGTGTGATGTGATTGTTACTTTTGAATTTAAAAACAGACATCAATATTTTGAATACACTGTAGACGTTTGAGCTTATCTTAATTTCTCAATTGAAAAAATATATAAAGAAATTGTCAAAATAGTCATTGAAATAAAACCAAGATAACACAAACCTTTGAAAATCGTGTGTATTTGATCCGTGGACTAGTTAGTCTGCTCCCGTGAAAGCGACCAAATAGGCAGTCCCCTGGACTATCTGTGTAAATAATCAGTGTCTGTGCTCTACTTTCAATTGTCAGAAAGGTATTAGTATGCATATTGTATCACAATTCAACGTAAAAAGGCGATGGCAATAACAGGCACACAGTGCAGTGCAGAGCGTCAAGGTTGGAGCATCGTTTATGCAGGTGAGTGAACAGTTGTGTAAAAAATCTAATTTTCAAATCACGGCAGATACTGTGAATTTCCTATCATGATTAAAATAGAGACTTTCTTTGTGATATCCCAGGACTATTTATGTTTTTATATAATGGAAATGATTTTAAACGAAAACATTTATTTCACACAGGCTATACATTTTTGCATTTTCACAAGAAAAGTCAATGCAAAATCTGAATCCTTCGGAAGATACTTAAACGTCTTTGAATGGCAAGAGCATTACCATATTATATTTACTCCTTAAGCACGAGGCTTATACAGTACGTGTAAAATGTGTTCATCTGACATGCGTTCAACACTCACGATGGATCCAAAGACCGTTTGGTTACATTAAGCTGTGTCGTGTCGAGCATAAGTAAAAGATTGGAACAGCCAAACGTCGATTTATGGCGATGACATTTTTAGCCTTAATTATGGTTTTAATTTCAGTAAATGTGTACATTTTCATGTTCTAATCCTATTGCAATAGTACTATTGAATACACTTAAACGCGTATATGTTTTGTTTTGACGGCCATTTTGGCTTTTTTGCTATATTTTAATCCTGATAGGATAAACATTCAATGAAGCTCTTAATAAAGTTTACCCTGCGACTTCTGATCGTTTTTCTATTTTTCCTCATAAATTGAGGGCCATATTGAAAAATGCTCAATGTTTCGGAAATAGCAACCAAGCTTATTTTGCTTCTCTCGGCCTGAAGAATGCATTTCAGCAAAAAAAATGTTTACATGAAAAAACATTGCAGGGTTAGCGTTCTGGCTACTTGACTACTCCGCTAAGAAACCATGCGAAAAGGGTATTACGGGCAGTAAACTTGCACCGTGCGGGCATCGCATTTCAAATGTAATCTAGGCTTTACGTGACAAACACAGACCAACCACTGTATATCCATTCTGCAACCACGGAGAACCTATATAAAGCCTCCTTCCTGCCTCCCTTGAGAGACTAACCTCCTCCACTAAATTTGTGTCATTGAATAGTTCAAACTTTTCAGAGACTACGTGTTTTTCAACCCCTCAATATCATATGAATCCCTCAATATATTTGTCGCAAGGCGATTCTTTGTGTTTTTTTTTTTTTTTTTTTTTTTTAATCAACGAATACGAATTTTAGAGAAAAAAATTATGTGTAATTTAATTTCAGAATTATATAAAATGTCCACGACACGCCAAATAGATATTTGGGATGCAGAAAGAAGTCAGAACTCCTACGGTCAGCACCGGGCGAAATACTATGATCAATCAAGTTTGGTAATAAAAGCAATTTTTTTAACATTCTGTATAGGCCTTTCTGGCAATGGACGTACAATTGTGGTGCAGTAAGGGGTACCGGAGGAGATCAGCATTGGTCAGAATTGTGCCGGAAGTGTGACGTCAAGTGGTGTAAGACGCGATGCTGAGTGGTCATTTTTAGTTGGAGGTGAACGGTAGAGAAGACGTGGACTCGAGAAAAAAGCAGTTTTTCAAACAACATGGTAAAATTCCACATGACAACGATTTATAGCCTCCCGGGAATTCTTTTCCAATTACGCTCTTTGTCGTGCTGGCGGTCGATGCAGCATATATTTCAAAACAAATTCACCGCAAATTTAGCACGATTTTGCACCTTCAAATTGTGCCTATTGTTTCTACAAGTATTATCTGCCCCAAATGCATAAACATAAAATGTTATCTTACCGTGTTGTTAGAATAACTGCTCTTTTCTCCAAGCCCACGTCTTCATTCCCATTTACCTCCAGCTAAAAATGACCACTCAGCTTTACGTATTACACCACTTCACGTCACTTCCGGCACAATTCTGACCAATGCTGATCTCCTCCGGTACCTATTATTGTACACGTATTTGCCACTATATGGAAATGATAAAGGTATGTTTCGATGACGGCAGAGCTCTGTAGGTTAGGGAGGCGAAACTGAGCATATACCGCGTGTAACGATCCACTGGAAAACTAATAAAAGGAACAGATTTAAAGTAGATGCCGAAAAAATGAGCTTTTAAGTATACTCCTGAGAAAATACATGTAGCCTATGGTCTTTGTTGATAATTTCACAGGAATCTTATGTAATTAAAAAATTCATGATTTTGGAACTTTCACTCTCACAGGTCAATCACTACTACGGCCCAAAATTTACTGCCCAGAAAATAGACGAACTGTTCGGAGAAAACAAAGATGTTTTGATACTGGACGCGGGGGCGGGAACCGGTTTGGTCGGGAAAGAGGTATGAACAAGATCCTGCTTTTACTTCTTTACCTTATCTTTTCCCGGGTAACATTTTAGCAGCTTATATGATTTCTTCATTTTTCCCTCATAAGCAGCTAGTCAATTTTACCTTCATGTTTTAGAGGCGATTGCTTTCAAACTACGAACGTTGAATTATTCTACAGCAGCTTATTATTTTTATTGACAGCTTCAGAATCTAGGATTCACAAACCTGGAGGCTCTAGACGGAAGTCAGGACATGTTAGATGTAGCCAATCAGAAAGGGATTTACAAGAGAAGTATTTGCAGTTTGTTAGGGCCGAACAGGTTGGATATTGATCCAGGTGATTCACGGTGCGATAATTCGTATTTACTGCTTATAAATGCTAGAATATAAAGGACAATTAAAGGCATACAATCAAAGGACAATTAAAGGCAGTAGAACTTTATTTAGAGCAGAGTAATTTATGTTCTAGTATCATGTGTCATGCAGGACCACAGGGTCTGGAAATCTTTTTTATGCTGTTGCTTAATTAATGATGCTGACGCTCAACTGCAGTCTATATGATTGATCGATTGATTGATTAAAGAATTTTTGACGACTTCCGTTTACCTGTCACACTACCAAAATCGCAAAAATAAAACTTATAGTTCGTAATCATTTGAAGAACATGTTGATAAAAACACTTACCTGCTTTAAAAATCAAAGTCAGTTTTTTGTTTGCAGGACAGTATGACTGTGTGGTATGTGCTGGTACTATGGCGGCGGACCACGCCAATGCTGGTTGCCTTCCAGAACTGATACGGATCACAAAATCAGGTATATTGAAGACAAAGGCTACTAGATAGTAGTTTGGGTTATGTTCTATATTTGTGAACCAAGTGGTCCACACCTGGATAATTGATTTTTAAATTGACTCTTAAAAGTTTAGAAAATAGAAAGTATAGCTGCATCCTTACATTACTTACTGTATGTCATACATTTAAGATTAAAATCACATCCAGTCAATTGCTATGAGTCATGCTGCAATTACTCTCTACAGGTGGTTATGTTGTCATAGCAACGAGGGAGGCACTCATCCCAGACTGTGGGTATGACGGCAAGAGCTGGGACGACTGGCTGAAGATCCACGAAGACAACGGGCTTTGGAAGAAAGTAGAGATTAGGAGGGTTGAAAATTGGCTGGCCGGTTTTTATGTGGGTGTTATAAACGTCTACCGGGTTATATAATGGTAACCCTGTGTACGTTTCCCGTCTTTTGATTAGTTATCTGTCACTTTTATCTTGGGATTCCCCACAGATAATTCGATAAACTTATATAAGTAGATAGGTTCCAACTTCCAAGGATAAAAGACCTACCACACTTTGCATCGTAAAACGGCCGTGTTACAGTGAACATGTAGGTCACATATACAATAGTTGTATAAATTCACGAAGGAGGGGGCTGTACGGCCTCAGGAAGAAATGGTTGGACGAAATGGTTGAACGATAGCTTAGGATCGTGGCTAACAAAAAAAAAGGAACCAAAAACAACGGCGGGAATGGTTTTAATGTGACTAATTTTATCAGAAAAATACTGATTTTGCGGTATTTTTTACTCTCTGCTGTATTTTTGGGTGGCCACTTTAATTTTTGAATAACATTACCGTGGATTGTTGGGATGCTGCCAATTATCTTACTGCGTTCTTCCGACAGGAAATAGAGCGACAAATAAAAGATTACAACTGTCGACTACTGGCATTACGTTTTTCTATTTTCCCACAAAAAAATTGGCGGACATATTGAATTTTGCTAAATGTCTCGCAAGTAGCTAATTTTACTAGTCTAGCCATAAGGAATTCAATTCCGCAAGAAAAAAAAGAACGTTTACGGGACAGAACAATGCAGGCTTGGCATTCTGGCTACTTAACTGGGATGGGGGGGAGGGCATCATCCAATATAAAACATCTTCAGGTTTCGTTGATGACGTCAACGGCCACGAGTGAGCATCCTGCCCACCGGCCTTGCACGACCTGGGAGAGCACAAAAGTGATAAAGTGCACGCTGACCCAAATGCAGAGTGTCCCTCAATGTTTTACTTATCAGTTGTTTCAGGTCATTCACACTTCGGCTGATACAAGAGTGAGGTGGGTACCGATATCTTAATTTACAGTATAGTTAAGTAAACGTTCCTCATATTTATAAAATATCAAGGAATTAAATCTGCATCAAGCACAAAAATGTTACAAGAGATTTTGTTGCAAATGTGGTTTAGCATCTGCATTTGAATCCTCCGATATTTTATCAACAGCCACAGTCTGTCCTAAGGTTATTTTGTGGGTTACTTTGGTTCAACAGAAGCGATTTTTATACTCAAAATTCGTGCAAAAATAATTTCAGAATTTTTTCTTTGCAAAATGTCTACATCACGCATGGAAGAAGTATGGGATATTATCATTGATACAAGTGCGGCGGCTGACAGTGTGGAGACCAGTCAGGAACTCTACAGACAGTGGGCACCAGACTATGACCAAGACAATGTGGTAATATAACCGATTCTTTATACAATAATTGTATAGGACTTTACTGTTAGGAAAACAATGTTCCAGAAGCTAATACACACGGCATCTGAATGTTATGGTCTGTATACAGTGACTAAAAGTTCAAGTATTCTGTTACTATGGATACAGACAAACATAGTTCAAGCATCTGGTGTCCTCCAAGTCACCGATATCTGATATTCTTTCAAGATATTCTTTAAAGTGTTGTAATATTTAAAAAGTGGTCTTGTAACAAGATGAAGTCTGACAGAAGTGAGCTTTAAGGCCACGTCCCAGGAACAACGCATGATATACAGTGCATCCACAAGTCCACCTGTATCTATAGTAAACGCCAAAACAAAATAATAGTTACCTTACATATTTAGTATTCTTTCGAAGTAAAACAGAGTTAACTTTATCAGTGGGACATTAAAAATACATGGCTGATTTAAAGTGATAGAGCAATCATAAAAATGCAATTTTAAGTTCCATACTTTCTAAATCAACATTTGCTTAAACGTGACACGCCCCAAGACATGAACAGTCATACCAATGCTTAATCATGCAAAGGGTCTGAGGTGACGTCCTATTTCTGCTCTCAAGCGGCTAGGTATGGGTCTTAAATAACATTAAAAGTAGTGATAATGTTTATTCTAAATGTGTTCAAGGTGTATAGTAGGTTTTTAGGTAGACTGTTCATTTCTCTATTCAAATTTCTTGTATGATATAAAGTTCATAAAAATATACATGTTGACCTACCCATACCTCATAAACTGACGTATACCATATTAAAGGCCAATTCGTTATATAGACCTAAAATTAATCTTAATTTGAAGTAAAAATTTCACCAAGTTGATACTTTTGCAGGACGTTCATTACAACGGTCCAAAATTGAGTGCGCTGAAAATAGCCCAACTGTTTGGAGAAAACAAAGATGTTTTGATACTGGACGCAGGGGCTGGAACTGGTCTGGTCGGGAAAGAGGTATGAATAAGATACTGCTTTGTTTTTTTTTTTTTTTTTTTTTTTTTTCTCCATTCCACGGGTAACATTTTTTACCAGTCTCATTTCTTATAGGAGTTCTTCAGTTTCTCTTATAAGCAGTTTGTAAATTTTACTTTCATTTTATACTCCTGGTGGTGACGATTTCTTTGAAACTAAGAATACTGGATCGTTGGACATCAGCTCACTGAATTTTATTGACAGTTGCAGAATCTTGGATTCACAAACTTGGAGGCTCTAGACGGAAGTCAGGAGATGTTAGATGTAGCCAATCAGAAAGGGATTTACAAGAGGAGTATGTGCAGTTTGTTAGGGCCGATCCGATTGGACATCGATTCAGGTTTGATTCTACAATAAAAAAACGTTTTAAGACACACAATACGTGGTAGTTTTTTAAATAGCAAGATAACGATTTTTCTTGGAAATTTACGCAACTTTTAATTTACCTTCTACCTATCCCCTGCAGTCTCCATTTTTTTTAGAAATCTTTTCATTAACGTTTGTACACACACATTGGATACACCAATGCATGACTTCCCGTGGTTGGAAACTTAAACCCACTTGTTCAAAACTTGGACCCATTTGAAATACTAATGCCCAATGAAAGCCTCTCATTTAAACACCTATTGCTCTGGTGAGCATCTGTGATCCTTGGCAAAGTATAGGGTCAGTGGTTTTATGTAGCATTTTAAAAGCGTCTGAGCCCCACATGTAAACAGTGCAATGCACAGGATCCTATTTAAGTGTGGGGAGTGGGGAATATAATCGGTTCCCTTTCCCTGCCGCATGGCCAAAATGTCAAAACAAGGAAATGACGTGGTCCATCATGTTATTTCAATTGGCCATTTTTATGTATTTAAAGAATATTTAATATAAGAAATTCTGTTAATTGCTTTAGAAAATCAATATCAATTCACTGTTTTACAGGTTATTATGACTGCGTGGTGTGCATTGGCAGTGTGGCGGCTAACCACGCAAATGCCGGTTGCCTTCCAGAACTGATTCGGATCACAAAGTCAGGTATATTAAAGGGGATAGTTTAACATTGCGCTTAAAAATAACAGTCTACATTTCTAAAGCAATCGCTTCATGGGCTTGCTTGTTCATTGGTTTAAATTCAGAAAGCAGGCCCTACATGTAGACTCATTCTACCTTACTGTAGGTAATGGCTAAAAACCAATCAATCATATTTAGATCTTCAGTCCATTGTGGGTCACGATGCTTCTGCTGTCTTTTCAGGTGGGTATGTTTTCATAGCGACCAGGGAGGACAATGTTCCAAACTCCGGGTATGACGGCAAGAGCTGGGACGACTGGTTGAAGATCCACGAAGACAATGGGCTATGGAAGAAAGTAGAGATTAGAAGGGTCGAAGATTGGATCGCCGATGTTCATGGGGGCATGATGTACATGTACCAGGTTATGTAAGGTACAGCCCTGCATACGTTTACCACTATATAATTCGTGACTTGTCACTGTTAACTTCGAATGTCATGTGCAATGCCAATTGGTTGATATTCTAAAAGATATGATTTCTAAGAAAACGAGCCAAAACAATCATATTTTGCATACCGTAAACATTATGTGTTAGTTATGTATTTACATTGAGAGCGTGAGCCCTACAAAAGATAAATACAAAGATACAAAAGACAACACAATGTTTTTATGTACCACAATGTAGATTGTATTTCTGAACAATATTCATCATGAGCCACTGTATCAATATGGTAGCAGCAATGTTACAATGTATATCTATAAATACTGACTGCAGCAAACATGCAACAATGTACAATTCAAAAATGCAGCAAGACAAAAATATGAATCTACATAGCAGACAGCAGTGTGACATATCACGACAGAGAAAGAACTTTGGACGTATATCTCACAGTATGAAATACGTATTGATCAGAATAAAATAATGAAATGGAGAAAAGTACTTCTTGTTTACCTATTGGAAAATTATCAAATTATTTGGGAAAACAATATTTTATGAATGCAATGAATTATTTCTTGTTTCAAAAAATATGTCAGAAATGTCAGATTACTCATGAGAACACTACGCGTATATTGATAACTATTCGGGCAAGGGAGATCTATTTGAAATCGTTATTTCAGGTTTCATCCCAAAAACGTCGTTGTTGTGTCGTCAGCCAGAAGTAGAAAACTCGCCACGTTGTTTTTGCTCGTAACATAGCAGAGTTTGTTTCTGTATTATCAAAACGGACAAGGAAAAAATCACTATTGTTATTAATGCCATTCATTTTATCATAATACACAAGTGTGGTATTTTAAATCATTTTAAGTGGTTTTTCAGTGGTTTGTCAGCCATGCAGAATCAGCATCCCCTTCCAGACACACGCGCACGAACGCACACACTCCCACACGCACACACACACACACACACACACACACACACCTGCGTACTCTCTCTTTTTCGAACAAGAGCACCTGTTCTTGCAGTCTGCTGGTCTGATGTGAACAATTTCAGTTGTTGCGTGTTGGTTTCAAATACAACAAAACATTGCTCACGAAAGGTTGGGCTCAACTGTCGCAATCAAAGAAACAAAGCTTTTCCTCCTCTTCATTCCAACCAATACAAGTTTGATGTCTAACCCTTGATTTTTAGATGTGTAACGCCAGGTTGAAGTGAAAAGAGTAATAATGAAATGTGGGTAATGCAGTGGTTAAACTCAAGTTGTCTGTAAAATTTTGTTGTCTTTTTTCATCTTTTTTTGTGTGTCGTGAATGGAAGTCATGTGGGGCGCGACTAAAAGGAATCTAAAAGAATCTAACGATCTCTAACGTAACTGCCATTTTCGTAATATAATATGAAAAAAGGTATTTTCCCAAAATTGAGATGTTTTAATAAATCGGACACGTGAAATCAGCAAAGAAAAATTATGGGGAACATATCCAAAACACGACTTAAGCCCGCTCCAGTACACCGCTGCTCTTATGTGCGAAAAATAAAGCTGGTGAAATGCCTCATGGGAGCAGGGGTCTTCGAGCCGGGTTGGGGGTGGGTAACACCCGCAGAACGAATTAAAATAACAATAATATTTTAAAAATGCTTCCCACATATAAGTAGGACGACTGAATTTCTGTTGTTGACTGATCACAAAAAGAGATTTGGTCGCCACATCGATGTGAGTAAGCGACAACCATGTCTGCCAGTCTAACCAACCTACGGAGACAGAGGAAATGTTCCAATATCATTCGCATCTAACCCGGCGTCTATTATATACTCCATTAATTCACGTCGGCTAGAAGGCACAACGGCAGAGCAAACCGGTGACTTAGGCTTCGTTCACACTGACTAAAGCCATTTCGATCCTGCTTCGTTTCTATTTCTCTCCAACATGCATGCAGGACCACTAAACTGTTTATTGGGTATAGTAGCTCCAGCGTGAACGAGTTCAGTATCTGTCGGCATCTTGGATCACTGACGTTTTTACTGAAGTAGATGACAGTCAGTAGACAGTTGATTGCTTTATCGCGCGCTCTGAACTCTCCGCGACGTGGGACTTTACGACAGCACGGCGTTAAGTCGTAGCATGGCGTCGCAGAAACAATAACCTACACAACCAGAAAAAAATTACATTTTAATTGTCGTCATGAAATAGCAGCCCCTTTGCAGCGGAAGGTTGGAAACTCCTCGGCTCTTGTCAACATATTTAGAGATAATAGACAGACTCTAAAGCTTGGACATAATCTCTTATTATGTCCAAGTCTAAAGCGAAGACGGATCGACCGTTTTGTCATGGGCCATCGTGAACTTTGCGGATTTATGTAATATCTTTCCCGATAATACAACACGCCCTTCTGCCAAATGCAGGCTTTTTTCTCACATGTCTGATTCGGTTATAAGGGTAGCTATGCTAACGCGCCATCGGCCTGGTGAAACAATTACGTCTTTTATATCTGTCGTTATGATTCAAGTACTAGAATAAATCGAGATTTTGCACTTTTCCCTCACAATGTTTATTCAACGTTTATGTGGTGTAGTAATGTTTACAACTATGTTTTAATCGCATCGGGATAAAAATCATACAAATGTTTGAAAGTATTAAAATGTGATTAATGAAAAGTATCAACTTATTCATGATTATTTTTCGATTTTAAAGTCAAAAGAGCGTTGACAGGAAAAAAAATCCAATAATAACAATAACAATAATAATAACAATTTGAATTTGTTAAAACAATAATGACAAAGGCATATCGAAGACGCTTCATGGTTGGCTATTTATTTATCAAAACAAACATTGGAAAAAAATGCATTTTACCTGCGATAAAGGGGGCCGTAGCGATAGTCCGAAGGTTCAATAGTCCGAAGGTTCATTGGTNTAGAAGACAGTTGATTGCTTTAACGCGCGCTCTGAACTCTCCGCGACGTGGGACTTTACGACAGCACGGCGTTAAGTCGTAGCATGGCGTCGCAGAAACTATAACCTACACAACCAGAAAAAAAAAATACATTTTAATTGTCGTCATGAAATAGCAGCCCCTTTGCAGCGGAAGGTTGGAAACTCCTCGGCTCTTGTCAACATATTTAGAGATAATAGACAGACTAAAGCTTGGACATAATCTCTTATTATGTCCAAGTCTAAAGCGAAGACGGATCGACCGTTTTGTCATGGGCCATCGTGAACTTTGCGGATTAATGTAATATCTTTCCCGATAATACAACACGCCCTTCTGCCAAATGCAGGCTTTTTTCTCACATGTCTGATTCGGTTATAAGGGTAGCTATGCTAACGCGCCATCGGCCTGGTGAAACAATTACGTCTTTTATTTCTGTCGTTATGATTCAAGTACTAGAATAAATCGAGATTTTGCACTTTTCCCTCACAATGTTTATTCAACGTTTATGTAGTGTAGTAATGTTTACAACTATGTTTTAATCGCATCGGGATAAAAATCAAACAAATGTTTGAAAGTATTAAAATGTGATTAATGAAAAGTATTAACTTATTCATGATTTTTTTTTTCGATTTTAAAGTCAAAAGAGCGTTGACAGGAAAAAAATCCAATAATAACAATTTGAATTTGTTAAAACAATAATGACAAAGGCATATCGAAGACGCTTCATGGTTGGCTATTTATTTATCAAAACAAACATTGGAAAAAATGCATTTTACCTGCGATAAAGTGCTCCCGGAGGGGCACAATTTGAAATATTCGTTACTTCTCTTCCTTCATTTACAATTGAGGGAGATTCCTCAGATATGATTTTCGAGACGCATCTCTTTTTCAATATATTTTTATCAAAACTGTCGGGTTTCACTGCTGCGATCCAACGATCATCATCGTGACGCCAAATTGATGTTACAACATACACTCGTGCCAGACAAAGGGACTCCCTTACAAAACGTCTTGGGTTCAACTTAGACTGCTTAAAATGGATAGCTGACTACCCAAAGACGATATTTTGATGCTTGTTTGACATACTTGAAAGATGGTCTACTGTCAATTGTGAGTTTGAACTCCACTGAGACTACGAACTTGCGTCAAAAACATTGGTTGATTGATTAAAACAATAAGAGAGTAGTTTACTTCCTTGGTTAAAAGGCAAAAAAATGAAGTATTTTACATTCTTCGTGAAACGCATCTTAACTTGCTCCTAGTAAGCGAAGAATTTAGCCCCAAAACTGACTCTAGACTTTGCACACGTTAAGTACAAGAGGTCAATTTTTACAATAATCACCACGTATTCTACTCAGTGCCGGGGGAGGGGGGGGGGTTCTGAAAAATATATCACACTAATATTCCCCACTTGAAATTAGAATTTTGCCTAGCTGAATTATAGTTCTAAACCATACCAAAGGGCACCATTTTTTTTCGGGGCCACACCAAGGGGGCGATGGTCGGCTTTGCATCCGAGGCCTGTCGTTCCGGACCCCCCTT